AGCTTGAATTTTGGCACACACATTGAGGTATTTCTCATTTGGTTGGTAATAATTTATCTATTTTCCGTTTACCTGAATTATACTTAAATAACAGCTTCTTCACCCTTTGATCAACCATAATTTTTCTGAGCAGGTTCTGCAGTCTTAGGACTTTGATGAAGACTGTGGGGGAGTTTAATAGTGTAGACTGACATAGGTCCCTTACCCAAGGAACACTCTAGTGTGAGAAATATAGGTGCCGTGTGATTGTAATGAACACAGCAGGTCAGAATGTGGAAGGTGCCTGTCTGTAAATAGGTTATCCATCAAGATTATCTGTAAGGTAGCCACCTGGAAATCAGATTGCAGTTTCCTCACAGAAATTAGACTTTGGGTCACAGACTATCCGTAGTTATGCTTCTTAGATAATTTAAAGTATATCAAAATTCAGAAGCGTTTGTATCTGACCTTTGAAAACTGAGTTATGAACATCCGTAAACACTGTACCGCGGACTGTCAGCACCAAGTCTGTGAATCAGACAGGCTATGAGTATCTTGCAGATAAACAGAAGAATATTTATAATGCTAGCTAATTAAGGCAATTGGTATTGTTTAAGTAAGGAGGAGAGTAAGCCTATTGAGCATTCTTCCCAAGTGATTAAGGAAGATCGATGGAGCACAGCTTCAGTGAGCTGAGAGCTGTAAATAGGGGAAAAATTACTTTTATTTTGCATTTACCTCACTCTGTCTCTGAGGACTGAGGAAGCCATTAGAGAGGTGCATTGCAAAGAATTAGTAGAACACATTACATATTTTCTCCTGATGACTTCCTGCTCTAGCGGCAATCAGGGCGACTCAAACAATACTAATGAACAAAAATGAGAACGAGATCACTAAACAATCGACAGAATTTTATTTCGTTCCGGTTCTAACGGGGGATTTATCACCTGGTGGTGCTACTGATTCATACAATATGAAAGACAGAGTTTTCCTTTGTGTATCAAGCATTCACTGGGGCTGAGGGCTTTATGCAGTCACATATGAATTTTGATTTACAGTTATGAATCTGGCAGAAGTTTGGGGAAATCAGCTTTAATTTCTCTCTGTGATGTTGAGTGTGAGATGGAAGAACATACTTCTCTCTAGTAAATTCTAAGAAACAAATGCAAGTTCATCTGTTTGTTTAGCCACACTTTCCCAGTTAGAGAAACTGAGTTGGAAATCTTGCCTGTTCGGCACTCCTTCGGAGTCAAAACATTTGTGAGGAGAGGTTTGGAGTAGCACTCAGCTCTCCTGGCCTAAACAAGCTCAGGGTGGCAGCTTAGCAGCATCCGGGCATAGAGGTGTTCCGATGCTCCTTAGTCATCTCTGGGATGAAGCTACATTTTCCAGATCAATTTCTCACTCGTCTTATCCAAACTTAACTTTTGGTCATCATATAAAACAACTACACTTATTACTATGTTCCTTTGTGTGAATAAGACGATGACTTAAGTTGGATTAAAAAAGTTAAAAGCATGACTGGTGTGATTGTGAAATTCTTAAGATGTCTCAGAACTAAGAAAAGATGTGGAAAAACTCTGGTCAGCCCCTTGATGAATTTGAAAACTAGAACCTTAAAGGTAAAGACATTTTCAACTTCCTTAAAGTTTGGGAGTGAGATTTTTTTTGCCACAGGAAATTTTAATAAGAAATAAAAGTCACCCATATTTTCCTTTATTTCTTTGAGCTATTTTTTAAAAAAATATTTAAAAGTTTTTTTTTTCATTTTACATACCAACCACAGTTACCCCCCTCTTCCCTCTTCCCACCCTCCCCCCCCCCAGTTTTCCATCCACTCCTCAGAAAGGGTAAAGCCTCCCATGGGGAATCAACAAAGTCTGGCATATTAAACTGTGGCATGACTAAGTCCCTCCTCCCTGTATCTAGGCTGAGTAAAGAAAGTATCCCTCCATAGGAAATGGCTTCCAAAAAAGCCCGTTCATGCACTAGGGATAAATCCTGGTCCCATTGGCGGTGGCCTCACAGACTGCCCAAGCCACAGAACTGTCACCCGTATTCAGAGGGCCTAGTTTAGTTTTATGCAGGTTCCCCAGTCTGGAGTCAGTGAGCTCACAATAGCTCAGGTGAGCTGTCTCTGTGGGTTTCCCAATCATAATCTTGACCCCTTTGTTCATATAATCCCTCCTCCCTTTCTTTGACTGGACTCAGGGAGCTCTGCCCGGTGTTAGGATCTCTGCATCTTCTTCCATCAGTTACTGGATGAACGTTCTGTGATGACAGTTAGAGTAGTCATCAATCTGAGTACAGAGGAAGGCCAGCTCAGCTATCCTCTCCACTGTTGATATGAGTCTTAGCTAGGGTCATCCTTGTGAATTCCTGGAAGTTTCCCCAGAACCAGGTTTCTTTCTAACATAATGGCTCCCTCTATCAAGATAGTTCTTATCTTGCTCTCCCTCTCTGTCCCTTCCCCAACTCAACTATCCCTCATGATCTCCCTCCCTTCTCCTTCATCCTCCCCCAGTTTACTCAAGAGATCTTGTCTATTTCCCCTTCCCAGAGGCATCCATTCATGTCTCTCTTAGGGTCCTCCTTGTTACCTAACTTCTCAGGGGTTATGGGTTGTAGCCTGCTTATCCTTTTCTTCACATCCAATGCCCACTTATGAGTGAGTACATAATGAAGTGCTTCAGCAACAGTGACTGAAGAACTTTTGGGGAAAATAGGCAAATAAAATTTGCCCAATGATACAGAACATCAAACATGATTGGCTTCACAAAAGCCCATTCTGGTGTCTAGTTCGCATCGTCCCCTACTTTCCCTACCCACAGAACCTGTCTATTTTTAGCGCATCTCCCAGACATTTTAAACTCAGTTTATTAAGTCATAGTTTCCAATGGAATTGACTACATGTCTATTGAATTTACTAATTATAAAAACACGTGCAATGTAGTTTTTTTTTAAGTGTCATTTTTTTACTCAGCTTTGAGACTAGCCCAGTGTTTTCCTCCTGTGTTGTGGGAGGTCCTTCCGCCCCTCCAACCAATAGCTGCTGTGATACCAGCCCATTGGGGCGTGGTCTCTCTCCCTTTAAGAAGCGGCTATTTCCTCTGCTCGCTCTCTTCACTTCCTGCTTCACCGGAGACTAGACTCCCTTCCTGGTTGTGCAGATGGCTGTTGTCTGGGACGGTGATCTGTAAGTTTTTTTCCCCTTTAAATAAATAACACCCTATTAATCATAACTCCAAACTGGTGTGGCATTGTTCGTGACTTACGCCTTCACTCCTGATGAGTGCCTCCACCCTGATTGCCTCGGAGCCAGGTTCCAGAACACAGCAGTGGGGACTCCTCAACTACATCAGCCACAGAGGTTATTCCAATTTGCTAATCTGTAACCCTCTTCACCTTCTCATTCTCCTCAACAGCCACAATGGAAGTGTCTGTTTACAACTGCCTTCTGTGGTTGCCACTGATCCCCAGTGGCACTGTGTGGTCCTCCTCTTTCTCCTCTGTGGTGTATGAATGTAACAAACCTGGGAGCTCCTTGACTTCTGCCTCTGAATCTATCCTGAACTCAGCACGCCTCATCTCAGGCAATGCAGGTCAAATAAACTGATATTTGTTTTTCCCTATTGTGAAGCTTGTGAATTTAAAAGAAATATCATTAACCTGTAAATGTTAACTGGATATAAATCTCAATTTTAAGAGCTAGTTAGGGGCTGGAGAGATGGCTCAGAGGTTAAGAGCACTAGCTGTTTGTTCTTCCAGAGGTCCTAAATTCAATTCCCAGCACTCACATGGTGGCTCACAGGTCTCCTTAATGAGACCTGGTGCCCTCTTCTGGCCTGCAGGTATACTTGAAGACAGGATACTGCATACATAATAAATAAATAAATCTTCAAAAAAAAGAGTGAAAGAGGTAAAATCTTAAATAATTCACAGACTACATATATGGTGATGGACTCCTTAATCCGAGTTTGCTGACATGAGTTAGTTTCTCTGTCAGGTCTGAATTTTCAGCTGTCTATTTGACATCTAAATTTAGACTTCTATAACTTTCTGTCAGTCTTTTAGTGACAACTAATCTCATTTCATTATACTTGTTATAAAATAAACTATTTTCAAAACATTTCTTTCTCTTCTTTCTTTCTTTAAATTTTTCCGTCCAATATATTTTGATCATATTCTTTTCTGCCCAACTCTTTCTCCTCCATTTTCTTACCTACCTAACTTCATGTTTTTTCTCAACACTTCTCTTAAACAAGACCCCACAAACTAAAAGACAAAAAAAAATTAAAGTCAAAACTAACCAACCAAAAAACCCAAAACCCAATAAGACAAAAAATAACAAAACAAAACAAAACTTTTACACAGAAACACACACACACACACACACACACACACACACAGAGTCTGTTTTTTATTGACCAACTACTCCTGAAAATGGGACAAGCCTTGGAGTGTGACTGATATACCCAGTGATTCTTCATTGGTAGAAACTGATTTTCCCTTTCCCAGCATACTTCAATCGCAAATAGCTTCTTGGTTATGGGGTGGACCTTGCATCTACTTCTCCTTTACAGTGTAGGACTCTTGTCTGGTTTTAACTTGGGCCGGTCTTATCCATGCTTTCACAGTCTCTGTGATTTCAAATGTGGATTGTCACTGTTGTTTTTGCTTAAATATTTTTCACTTAAAATGTCCTTACTTTTGAGAATCTCATACATGTACAATGAATATGTTCAAATCTACCCCCTATTTCTCCCCTCCAACTCTCCTCATAGGCTCCCAACATGGCAAAGCACTACCCCAAGTGTATGTTTTTCATAACTCACTAAATTCAGTGCTTGCCATATGTGTGTATGTAACCATCCACTGGGGCATAGAAAACCTACCCATGGCCATTTCCTCAATAAAGAATAATCCTCATTTTTCCACTGCCAGTAGCTCATCAGTATGGCTGGGTCCTGGACATTGTTTAACTAATCTGTGCTGGAATTTCTGTGCTTGATCTTGTGTAGGTCTTGTGCCAGTGACCGCAGCTGCTATGAGATACGACTGTGATGACCACATCATGTCCGGAAGTCAGCATTTCACCGAAGTCTTCCTCACCTTCAGGTTTTTATCATTTTTGACTCTTCTAAGATATTTCCTGAGCTGTGGTGAGTCTTCTGGTGGGGGAGAATGGGTTAATATAGATGTTCTGTGATGGCTGACCACCCCTTTCTCTCAGTACTCTAAGCAGTCATGTATTCCCCCACTGCACTGACCACTGCAAAAGGAAGCTTCTCTGACCAGGACAAAAGAAGAGTATAGAATCTCCCTTAGGGCTCCCAAATTTTATGTTTTCTTAAGTTTAGTTTTCTGACTTGGCTGTTTAATTTTCTTCAAAGCATAGGTCATACTAAAATATCTGCTGCTGGAGTGAGCATTTGCTTATGGTGACGTCCTCCCACTCACTGGGCTGCCTCTGTTAGAGCAAGTGACTCGCTTCTCAGCTGCGCGAGTGCATCTCTTCTGTCTGGAACAGTTATAATCATGGAGGTGTGTGGTGTTGGAACCACAGGAGTCATATAAAACCCAAAACTTGAAGTTATAAGGGAGCTGAGTTTCATTTAATTGAGGAAAGATGTATAAAAGTAGAAATATATGTACTAATTAAGTAACTCCTAGATATCTATAGAGTCCCAAAGGAAACAGCAAAACCAAATTAGCAAGCAACCAACCACCAATGTCAAGAGAAAGTTGTCACCTGTCTACACAGTGTGATATTGCTTAGGCAGGAAGAATAAACAACGGGGACTTTAAATGGAAACCAAATGAAAACAATTTCATGTGGAAACTTTGAAGTATTAGTCTGTTTTGAAAAAAAAAATGAGATCTTACTTGAAAGAAAAAAAAGGTTTTCATGCTTGATGCATTTAGACATTATTTCAGTGAAGACTTTGACATTAACTTTTTAAATTTTCTATTTGAAAACCAAAGTATTAATTTGGAAATTTTTTCTCACTTCTAGGATACTTACCATTTTTTTTTGAGGATGCCGACTTAGTTCACATGTATCATCTAACTTTATTTTAGATTAAAGAGATGATGTTTTATATACCCTGAGGATGATTTCTTTCCTGGGGGAGCATTTTCTATCAACAATTTACTTCAAGCTTAGCTTAATAGCCACTCTGATTAAAAGGCTCTTTTCTTTTTGACCCTTGCATTTATACTCATTCTTGGTACTCCTTCGTCACTTAAATGTTTATACGTGTGAAAGTCTCTGCTGAGAAGTGAAATAAATGACTCTGACTTGTCATTGGCACCAAAAGATGAATGGAGCCAAAGACTCCCTGAGCGCAGTGCAGGGAGCAAGGGAAGCAACTCTGTTGACGGTTTCTAATGAGCAGTGTACACAAATTAGCTCCCCCAGTAACACGATGAAGCTGACAATATTATCTTATGATTAGCCACCCCCATTTTGTAGATGGCAGCATTAAGATTTAACATGGGTATCATATCCAGATTGTATATCTAATAAGTAGCATAGCAAGGAATCTAAAGTTAGGTAGTCAGGTTACTGCCCAATTATCTGTGTGGTGGTTTGGGTTTAAATATTTTCTATTCAACAAAACTTTACAATGCATTTCCTTGAAAAATGGAAGTGGGTACCAATGTGAAAGTCTGTTTGTATGTGTGTGTGAGAGAGAGAGAGAGAGAGAGAGAGAGAGAGAGAGAGAGAGAGAGAAGAGAGAGAGAGAAAGAGGAGAGAGGTCTTGGAAGTGAACCACAAAGGTGATTATGGGAACATTCATATCTTCCTAGGGTCTGCATCACTGTCACGGGAGAGAAAAGAATTGTCAGCCACAATTAACATTTCATTAGCTTTCTATACATAATTTTTCCTCAATTAAATCTTCTTAGAATCACTTCAATTCTATCTTAAAATTCAGTGAACTCCAAAGTGTAAGATTCACAAGCTGAATAAATATTAGAGCTTAATGGCTGCTTCCAAATCCATGTGAAGTCTATCAAGTCACATTTCAAAGTTAAAGACAAAAATAAAGCAATTATTTTTAGGGCAAAGTAGTATAAAATGCCTAAAACAACATGAAGATAAAAATGATGCTTCTATAAGTAGAATATTTTTTTTCTTTTTCAAGTTTTTATCTCATAGTTCGTAGTTGATTTATAGATGTGGGCCAGTATTATTTATTTAAGATGACTGTACTGGTTGTTTATTGTCAGCTTGATCTGAACTGGAGTCATCTGGGGACAGGCAACCTTGGTTGAAGAATTTTCTCCATCAGACTGGCCTGTGAGCCTGACTGTGGAACATTTTCTACATTAATGATTGATTTGGGAGGGTCCCGACTATTGTGAGTGGTACCTCCTCAGAGCGGGTGAGTCTGAGCATTATAAGAGAACAAAGGGAGCAAGTTATGGGAGGAAGCCGGCAAGCATCTTTTCTCCATGGTCTTGGCTTCAGTTCTTGCCTCCAGGTTCCTGTCTTGGCTCCCCCATGATGGACTGATCCTTGTAAGCCCTTTCCTCCCCACGTTGGTTCTGGTCAGTGTCTTTTCACAGCAACAGAAAGCAAAATAATATAACAACAAAGGCTGCCTTCCAGTTCTCAAAACCTAGTTAGTAAGACATGACTCATGGTTAAAAAGGCTTTTCAGAGGAATTTACAGATTTAGCACGGTAAAGTGTTATCTGTCTCCAGAGTAATCCTAGGTAATGAAGTAGCACCCACAAAACCGTAGGGTGTGTGAAAAGATTCCATCACATTCATGGCACGTGAAGTGGCTGGTTAGGTAGACTTTCTGTTCTTAGCTGGCATTGGGCAGTGAAGGGTCAGCTGCATCTGGCTGGTATAACCTGGACTAGATGAGACTACAGGGGGAAGCAACTCTTTCATGTGTGTGGTGTATGCATGTGTGCACACGTGTGCAGGTTCCTATTCATACTCATGCAGAAGTCAGAGGAGGGCATCAGATGTCCTTTCCTGTAGTGATACTTCATTTGTATTTTAGTAAATAAAGCTTACCTGAATCAGAATGCAAAACAACTGCACTAATCAGCCATACTGGCCAGGTGGTGGCACATACCCTTATCCCAGCAGCCACGCTAGTTATTTATAGAGGCCAGGTGGTGGTGATGCATGTCTTTAATCCCAGCACTAGAGGGGAATATAAGGCTGAGTGAGACAGGAACCAGCTCTTTTTCAGCCTGAAGTCATAGAGTAAAGAGCTCTCTACTGGCTTGTCTGCTTTGCTTTTTTGGTCTTCAGGTTGAACCCCAATATCAGTCTCTGGGTTTTTATTTGTGCTCTACTCCTCCACTATTCTCTCCCTTATACCTTGAGACAAGGTCTCTCGGGGAACCTGGAGCCCACTGCTTGCTCAGCTAGGCTGTTAAACAGCAATGGGTCTTCTGGCCCACGCCTTTCCCTTCTCTGCTGTGGCCTTCCAAGAGCACAGGGCCATGTGGGTGCTTAGGAGATGAATTTGGGCCTTCACATTTGCTCAGCAAATGCTCTTACTGAGTCATATGTCCCCCTGACCCTCAGAGTCAGTTCTTATTGATTGCTTCTCATCTTTCTTAGACTAAAACATCTTTTCAAGCAAAAGCTTCACCATTTGTTTTGAGATAGAATTTTGTTATGTTGCCAAGGGTGGCCTCCTGGTCTCAGAGAATCCCTCCGCCTCAGCCTCCTGAATATCTGTGACTATAGGTGAAGATCTGTAGCCAGCTTTAAGATCTCATTCCTATGGTGTCTAGTACCTTACTTGCCTAAGAAGGCCATGTGGTTAAACTCAGAATCACTATGATAAAATTTGTCTCTTGATAGGAGGAGGTCAGAAGGTATATGAGAAAGACTGTGAAAATAGCGTTTGGAAACATTCAATGCTTGGTTATATGACAATATCATGTATCTGGTTTTAACCAGCTCATTAAGATAAGTAAATACAATTAAAACACATTGTTAATATTATTGGTTGTGGTGGAGGCAATTATGCTCTTTAATTAAGTACTAACTGTTCTGGAAACTTCCTATTAACTAGTGAGGATGTCTTTTGTGGTCAGATGGGATCCTAATGATACAATTGTAAATGTTCATGTAATCTTCCCAGAGAGATAAACTAAGTGGTTACTGGAGAATCATAAAGAATTCTGATGTCCTCTGTGAAGAATAACCATGTATTTTTTATCATTATAATCCTCTGAGTCAGGGTATCATCCTGTAACACAGGCTGGCCTCTACCTCAGGATCCTCCTGCCTCTGCCTTCCAAGTGCATACATTTTATCTTGTCCTGGTAAGGTAGCTGTTTAAAATGTTACCTCAGAGTGGCCATTTCTATAAGTACCATGGTAATAGTATGATGACCACTTGAGAGAAAATATTTTTCTTGATATACAGTGTGTGTGTCTCAAACAAACATACAGGGATCAAACAAACATAAACAGCCGAGATTTAGCCAGATAAAAACATTGTTGTCGATCTATTCATATTCTCACCTCAGCACACTTCTCAATCCACATATGACATAGAGAGAAAAGAACTTGCATGTGTTGCTGTACATATTGGATCATAAGACTTTCTTTTATGAACTAGCTCTGTAGACCAGGCTTGTCTCGAACTCACAGAGATCCACCTGCCTCTGCCTCCGGAGTGCTGGGATTAAAGGCGTGCGCCACCATCGCCCAGCTTAATTCTAAATATTTTTAAATGTGTTTCCATCTTTGAATAGGCTTATCTAAGTATAAATCACATCCAATGGAACATACCCATTCCACACATTTTGGTGAATATGCAGCCACTTCTACTACCGTGGTTCAGGACGCTTTCAGGATACTGCAGGAAACTCTCCCATGCCACTCAAGGTCATCCGACCTCTAGCTTCAAATACCACTGGATTTGCTTTCTGTCACCAGAGTCTGATCTTTCTGTAATTTCAATTACATAGTCTTTATGTGCAGTTTTCTCTAGTCCCACATTTCAAAGGTTCACCTAGACTGTGTATGTCTGAGTCATCATCAGTTTGTTCTATTTTCATTGTGCTGAGAATTTTGTCATTATATGGATATAATACATTTTGTTTATTATTTATCTGTTGGTGGATATTTGAGGTACTTTCAGTATTGGACTACTATGGTTCAGATTATCAA